CCCCATGGAACATAAAATTTACATGAGAACGGAGCCAGAGGACCTAAGTCCAGTGAAAACTTTCTCAAAGTATGGCTCGAGGATCAGCCATCTGCCTGAATATCAAAAGAGGTTTGGCCAAAAAGGCAGATTCCTAGGCCACCCCCTGGAACCTCGAAGGCGGGGTGCCTGCTCTTCTAACTGGTGACTCGCAAACCTTACATGGTTCAAAGGCTACCAGGAGGTCACAGAATCAAGTGGGGAAGCAGAAAGGATGGCTTCCTGTGCCACCCACACACTGTTCAACTTTTTAGGAAGTACCATAGAGGGAGGAATTTTTTCCTTTGGACCTTGCAATTTTTCTTTTAAGTTTTACTTTAGCTCTGAGGACTTAAAATGCGAGGAGACCAAAGGTATTACCCCCTCCCTCCAACCCCACATGCCAGGAGGGGGTCATGGCCAAGGTCCCTGAGCCACCGGGATCTCTGGACCTGAACACCCAAGTCCAGGAGAGAGAGACAGAGAGACAGAGAGGGCAGAAAAAATAAAACCCAGAGACCTGTCCAACCAGAAAAGAGCAAGAGGCCTTTGGATTTTCAAAGAAATGATCTGAACGAAGGGACCTTCCGCCCTCTAGTGGAGAGAAGCTGCTTTGCAGACCTTGTCGAGGGCCCGGCAGCTGAGGCAGGTGCTGAGCCCGCAGGGAGGCAGGACCCAAAGCCTAGACTGAGGCCCTGGAGACCTCAGCTCCTTCAGATCCCTGACTGCGGGAAGAAAGAGAAAAATTATGCTGCTTGCATTTACCAACTTTCACATGATTTTAAGAATACATTACTATAGTGTATTAGGAGTACTTCCATTATCACCAGATTTTAGAATCTTCATTATTTCTCAGGGAGATTAAGACTACTGCCACTGAACTCACACGTAACAGAATATAACCTGTAAATATATCCAGACACCTCGGATCACCAAACTGAGAGATCTATCTGGGAAGGCTACGCTCCTGGGGGGAACATAGAGCGTTGGAACAGATGTCCAGTAGCAGTAAAAGAGGAAGGCATCCTCACAAACCAGGAAATTTGACTGAATCACTCTCTGTGGGGGCAGATGTCTCTGTGGCTACACTGTCCTCCCATGTGAAGATGCCAAAGCAGTTACACTTGAAGCAGAGACAGAAAGCATCTTTTGAGAAAGAAAACATACAGATGAACAGTAAAGTGCCTACTTAGGATTCAAAAGAAATCAGATTGTGACTACGAGACACCAGGCTTTTAATAAAAGCTTACAAACTGAAAGTGCACACCATCCCACACCTATTACGAAGGCAAAGGAAGGCAGGAAGGAAAGAAAGACAAGAAAACTAAAATGCATATAGCTGCCTTGGAAAATGGCGAAGAAAGAAGTGAAACAGCTGGCCAGTGTAACCCATTCCCTTTCCGATCACTAAGGGGACACTCCCAGGGGACGAAAGGCCAGCGACCGGGTCTAATCTCTTTGTTAATATACCAAGAACTGGCTATTTGCTAGGAGGAGAGTACTCATTAATGAAATTCTTTCAGCCTGATGTCTCTGGTTTCAAATTGCTTATGATAAACAAACGTAGACTCGATAGATTTATAACTGGAGACGGTCATGTTAGTAAGACAACCACCTGGGGAATCAAATATTTTTCATAACTCAAATACTCCCCCCACCCCCACTGTGCAAGGTGCCCCTTATTGGAGAGTTTGTGTGTTATAGGTCTCCCACTTTCCAAAAGTTCATGTTTTGCTCCTACCCTCATGAAGGGCCTGCATTAGTAGAGTAACAGAAGTTTTTCGCTAAGGCGAAAAGCCTCTTGGGATCTCTTCCGGTTAGCGAAAGCGGGTATGACTGAAGGTCTTCTGTAAAGTGAAGGGGCCTAACCGGACGTGGAGGGACCTGGACTCCGAGCCAGAGCGCCTGTCAGGGCACGAAGGACGGACCTACGAGCCGCTCAGGTGGCTCAGGCCTCCCCTGCCCTGCATGTGCCTCTTGATCACTGATATTCCCAAACTTCGATACAGGCAAGATCTCTGCTTCATGTAAACATGATTATAGCTGATCCTTCTGTTAACTCTACAAATATTTATAGTAAGTATGAGTATTTAAATGGGGCCAATATCTTTGTTACAAAAAATATAAAGTATACTTTTAATATACTTTATATAAAGTATTGAGAAAAGCATCAAGAAACCAAAAGATAGGCTACGGACTCAACAGGCAGTTCACAAAGAGAAAACATAAATGGCAAGCAAGCAAACACAGAAAAAGAAGCATACTTCTTAGTAACTGATGTAAATTATAACAATGCAGAGTTGGGTTTTTTAAAAAAATCTTTCAAATCAGCAATTTTATAAAAATGGTAATATCTAAAAATGGTTGGAGTAGAAGGAAGAGACATTCTCATGCCTTGCTGTGGGGGAGTAAATCTTAATGCAGGTCTTTTAAAAAGCAATTTGATAATATGCCTCGAAATTATCCAATAATTTCATTTCTGTGGATTTAGCTCAAGGAAATAATTCCAAATACAGAAAAATAAATGTATGCCCTAAAAATCTAAAAAGTGCAATAGTAAGTGAATGGTTACATATAGTGTGGTATATCCATCCACTGGCATATTATCCTATTTCAAATAATATATATAAAGACTATTTAATAATACATGAATAGAATGCAGTATGGGGGGGGGGGGAAGTAGGCTACCAAATGGTTCACATAGTGTATTTTAAAAAATAATTGGATAGAAATGTACCAAAATGTTATGATTGATCATCTTTGGGAGGTAGGACTATCAGTCACTGTCTTCTCCTTTTCCCTACTCACAATTTAAAATTTTTCTTTAATGAACCTGTACTGGTTTCACCACAGAAACAAACCTTGTAAGGCCTGTGAAAATAAGTGTTGATTAGCATATCATAATCCAACATTATCTTTTGATGTGGGTGTGGGGGAAAACACAGAGTAGTGAAACTAAATATTGTCCAGACATACGCATGCATGTCAAAAGGTAAGCGGAGGCATGCTAAACTTTTTCAAGAGTTTATATGAGCCTATAGTGATTCGAATTGGGTAGAGCCAAACTGAAGGTTAGAGCTCTCCACTGAGGGGAGCTAGGGAAGGGGGCTGCATAGAGAACACACAGAAGCCAAGCAAGGAAATTATTTGATTAGCCATAGGTTAAGCAGTTAACTTATTTGGCAGAGCTAAGTTGGCTGCCTCTGACTGGTTGTTCTTGTTTCGTTTTCTCAGATTCGAAGGCATTGACTCTGGCTTAGGTTTTGGTTTGCTTGCCTGAGAGCCAATTCAGTCTAACAGCCTCCTGGTTTAAATACTTGAGCATGCTTCCATCTCTTCCCTCCCTGGTCCATTAAGTAATTCCTCATTAGGTGGGGCTGTTTGATAGCAACCACTTTCCTTCATAAACCAACATGTCTGGAGTGGTATACAGAACGAAACAAAAAAGAAAGAGGCAGCCATGATACTTAAAGGAAAAACATTTGCTGAATTGTCTACACAGTATGCGTTGTGTTTCCTAAACCTTGTCGGAAACGTGGCGAGGGGACACGGACATCTTGGAAATGGTTTAAAAAAACAAACACCAACATGCTAAGCCCATCCCTACCTGTCACAGAACTATGGGAGGAAGGTGGAGGTACCCTGAGACAAAATGGCCCCAAGCAGGTGTTCTCAAAGTGTGACCCGCAGACCCCGGAGGTATGTGTGGACAAATAGTGTTTATAGTAATACTCAGACTTTGTTATCGCCAAGAATATCGGGAGCCACTGTATTTCTTCACTGCCACAACTTAGTGACTTTTTCAAAATGCCAGTTTCAATTGAGAATGTACCTAATAAAGCGGTAAACACGATCAATTTCATTTAATCTCTACTCTTGCTTGTGTACTCTGTTTAATGTTCCGGGTAATGAAAAGGGAAGTGGGCAGCAAGCATTTTTGCTACAATCCTAAGTACCTTTGCTGTCTCCAGGAAAAGCACTTCTGTGACTACGCTTACGCGTCCGCTGTACTAGGCGATTCTTCCATAGGGCACCGGTTTTCCTGGAAACTAAGACAACCTCAAGTTCTTCCGACGCATTTGCGCCCGGCGCGGATCCAGCGATCCAGGCCAGCGAGGCTGTCATTGCCTTGGGCCCTGCAGCAAATAAGTGAAAAAAATGCGTTTCAAACCCAGGTTCTTAAGCTCCTGTGGTTCCCACGACCCCGCACTGTCTGGCTTCTAAAGCGCGTTCAAAGAAAACGCCGTCCCCGGGACACCAAAACCTGAAGCGGAGGCCATTTCTTCCCAAACTGAGGTCAGGGTCAGGAAGGCGCTTACTCATCCGTCACAACCCAGCATGTGAAAAGCAGCTGAGAGGGCTGACCTCAAAGGAGAACCACGAAGGGAATGAATTCATCAAAGATCCCTCAGCCGCAGCCCAGTTCGTGCCCTGACAAGGGGAGGGCTGCTGCCTCAGGTCACACCGAGTCTACGCTGAGTCCTGCCGCTCATGACCCACACGCCTTGGGAAACAGCTTTGTCTTTGCGGACCTCCATTTCCCCGTGTGTAAAAAAGGAATACCTAATGCCCGCCCTCACAGAGTTGCTCCCACAACTGAAATAAGACAAATAAAAGGTAAACCACATATAATTGAGACCCAGTAAATGTCCACTCCCTATCCCTCCCGTTCTGGAATTCCAGGAAAGGCAGGACCCGGGCACCTAAAACGCACTACCGCCCCACGGTGCCGCCAGGCCCCGTTAGAACACAGGCTCGGCCTCCCCTCCTTGTAAGGTCAGCGCCCACCCCCGTGCCAGGTTTAACCCGACCGGCGCGGCGTGCAGGAGGCAAGCCAGGCCCCTGCGCGGCCCAGCTACCGGCGGGGCCTGGGTCGTGCGCGGGAACGGGAACCGGAAGAGCGGACGGGGCGGGGTCTCCGACGGTGGCGGGGCTTGGGCGGGGCCTGCGCGGGTGGCGGGGCGGGGCCTTCGCCTGGGCGGGGCATGGGCGGGGTCTGCGCCGCCGCCGGGTCTGGCCGGGCGCAGGGCCAGCCGTGTAAATACCCACCCAGAGACGCGGAGGAGCAGGTGAGTCGGCTGGCAGCCGGAGGAGCAGGTGAGCCGACTGGCAGCCAGGGGCGAGCGGGCAGGGTCCGATCGCTCGTAGCACAGAGGCCTCGGGTAGAGCCGCGACCCGCAGGCCAGGCCCTGCCCTCCGTGCGCCCCTCGCCGAGGCCTCTCGCGGTCCCTTCACCAGTTCCGGGGTCTGCAGACCCTGCGCGTGCCCGCGGTCCTGGCCTCTGCGGCCGGCGCTGGGGCGGGAGGCGGGAGGCGCCGGGACTGGCACAACCAAAGCCGGCCTGGATCGGTGTCGTGGAAGGAGTGTGGGGAGTGGCCCCCAGGCCTAGGGCCTTGTGCGGGGCCGGGTCTTCCCCGCCTTCGACTCCCCGCTGGGGTGGGCGCGGTGCGAGCTGTTAAAGGGCCAGAGCATTCAAAGGACCAGTGCACGTGAGGCTCGAAGGCTTGCGGACCGTGACTTTTCTTTCCTCCTGGTTGGGACCTACCTGGCTCCCAGTCCAGCGGGCCTGTGGCACCGGCCCAGGGCACTGCTTTGCCGGGGCAGGAGAGGGGACGGGGGTCTTCCCGCTTGTGTAAGGAACTAAACTGCAGGCCAGGGCCTGGAAAGCGGGCGACTCAGTGATCAGCGGCTTTTGGCTGTTTTATCAGGCATTTGCAGCTCTGGGGAGGCTCCCAGAATCAAGCTTTTGAAGCTTAAGGAACCTAAATAGTAGCTAGTTCCCAGACCAAATTTTATCGATGAAGAAACTCAGCCCCCAGGGCTAGAGTGACTTTGTGCACGGTGGCCCAGGTAGGATATAGCAGAGCCAGGCTGCCTCTAGTTCTGCTCTTCAGTCCTTGGACCTTAGCTCAGCCCATTGGCAGTGGGAGGAAATGCTCCTGTCTTATTGACTTAACGTGTATTCCCTTTTTAAGGTATGAATTGTTGATTGGTGGGCGAACCGCCTCCCCGTTTACAGGTGGAGAACCTGAGAGGCACCCCACCAGAACAATTGCAGAGCCAACTTAACTCAAAATTGACATCCTGGGCTGCCACACTTGAGCTGAGAGTAACTTGATCAGGACAGACCAGACCCTGACTTCCGGGATGGATGCCCCTAATGTCTGCAAAGTTCATTCTGTAGACACTTGAGCTTCCAAGGCCTTCATCCAAGACCTTTGGCAGTAGTTAGAAGCTTTGGATAACCTGCTGCAGGTGTGTGAGCCTCAGGTTCCCCTCTGTGGGAATGTGGTCATGTGGCAGTGGGCAGACATGTCAGTAGCCATGTTTTGGGGGCTTGGCTGGTGAAGAGGCTGGGGAGCCCAGCCCCAGCTCAGGAAACCCATCAGGCCGGCAGGCTGTCCAGGTTCATGCATTGCTTTCATGAGGAGGCATTTAGAGGGGGGACTGGAAGCTTGGGGCGGGGGGTGGGGGGCACGGCTTGGAGGAATGTTGCTACGGAGTGGGATGGAGGTTGTTTCAGGGAAAATTCTATATCGTTTTGTGTTGAAGTACCTGTGCGCTAGGTGAAGTCTTACTACGTGCAAGTATCAGAGATGAATGCCCCATTCATATCTGTTGAGAAAGTGGGAAACAAGTTAGAAGCTGCCACTCAAACGTGCCTGGACGCCCAGTGCAGGTTGTCATGCCTGTCACCATGCCCTCAGCCCTTCTGTGGCTGCTCATAGTCCCATTGCACAAGCATGGTTCACCAAGTAAGAGTTACCTCTAAGTTATTGATGAAGATCATGACGTAACATACCTTACTTTATGCGTTTGTCATGTACAATAAATAGCTGTTTTGTGCAGCAGTTATAATTATCTTCAGAGCTTCAATCACACAACAGTAGCAATGATTTTTACTCTCCTACAGAAGGGGAAATTGAGGTTGAGGGAGTTAAGCAACTTTTCCTGTTATATGTCTTTGGTGATTGAGCACCAGGATTTGTTCCCAGCTGGCTGTGTCTTCTTAATATTTGGGGTTTCTGTGCAAGAGGTTCCCCCCATTCACCCCCAGCCATGGCCCTGCACTGCTGCCAGGAAATGTCTGACCACCTGACAAAGCAAAAATAAGTTAAAAGTTAAATGTATACATACACAGACACATACTTTTTTTTTTTTTTAAAGAAACCAAAGCAACGTGTGTTGGCCACATGCACGTTTTTACTAAAGACATCTTTGGCTGGTGTTCAGCTGTTGCTTTGACCTGAGGACACTGTGTCATTGGGGACTGGCGAGACAACAAATGTTTGCCAGTGTTCCCACCTGTTCCTGGACTCCAGCATCTGGGGGAGGGGCTGGGGAAGGAATGTTAGGGCTCCAAGGCAAGCAAGCTCGCCAGGCTGCCACTGGCCAGGGTCTGGAGGTTCTAGTCACCTTGAGCTGGCTGGTCTGACGTGGACTTCAAACCTCGTGCAATCTGCATTGGCCTCCAGGCCTAAAGGTGGTGGGGGCGCCTTTTCAAAGTTTGAGGAAAGAGATCAGTTTTGTCCGACCTATTCATTGCCCCTATTCATTGCCGGGGAGAACAGGTTGCTCAGTCGTCTTTGCTGAAATAGTCTTCCGAAGCCTGGGAAGACAAAATTCAGAGGGTGCTTGCCTTTCTGCTGTCTCTTAACCAGCAACTTGCTGACTTTTAAAAACTAAAAGTAATACATGTTTTAAAAAAGTAAATAAATGGATAAACTTCATGTTACACGCAGGGGTAAAAAAGTAACATATGTTCATCCTAGAAAATTCAGGCGATATTTTTTTAAAAGCCCATTAGCTCTCAGCCCAGTGAACACCACTATTAACAGGCATTTCCTTCCAGCACTTGATGCACATCCATATGTAGTCATCTGTTAAAATATCAGAGGGAGGAACCTGGAAAGGAAGTTTTGTGTCCTGTTTTTTCTGGTAATGTTATGCTTCCAGCATTTTGCCTGTGTTGAACATTCTTGGAAAACCGGATGTGACTGGTGTGCAGATCATTACTTCTCCCACCAACGCCATAGCAGGACGCCTTCCCACGTCCCTTTTGGATTGACCCAGAGTAGCAGCACCCAGACTCCTGCCCCATGCCCCCATCTGAGCACTCCCCGTCCCTGTGCTGGACTTGTGGGCGGGGTTGGGGGGGCAGGAGAAAGGCTACTAGGTTTGTAAGGTGATGAGTGATCTGGGGAGTATTTATAATTCACTGACCTCCTGTCTGTTTTGGAGAAGCTGTGGAGTAAAGAAAACACACATACCTGCCCATGGAAAAGGTATGTGCCTTACAAATGTGAGGGTTACCCAGAGAGCCCACATGGTGCGCCGTGTGGGCCGCCTACGTGACCCTGGCTCTGGGCCACCCAGCGTAGGACTCTTACCCTCTGGGCTTCCGTTTCTTTACCTATAAAATAGGGCATCAACTAGATGACCTTTAGGGTCCTTGCCAGCTCTGACATTGGTCCTGTGGATATGCTCTTTAGTTTGATAAAATGTTCACGTTACCAGAGTGCCAGGGGCCCCTCCCAAGAGGGGCATCGCAGGCTTCCCTTACTCCCCTTCTCTGTGTCCCTGCCTCTATTTCATCTTCATTGTAACGACCATTTGTTTATTGAACACCTGCTGTGTGCCAGGCACTTTGCACATCATCTCTAGTTTTTACAGTACTCTTGCAGGGTGTGCCTATTCACTTTTTCCAGAAGAAGAAATGGGCCATGTGAAGCTAAATAAATTGTCTGAGGCCATATAGCCGGGGGTATGTGGCGGAGGCCTCCTCCCTGTGCTGGGGAGAACCGTCCCGCAAGTGACGTCCATCACAGTATGGGCTGCGGCAGATGGACAGATGGATGAAGGTCATCCAGGGCCAAATGCATGGTCAGAAGCCTGGAGCTAGGGACACAGGCAGGCAGGGAAGCTTTGGGAGTTTCTGAGGAAAATTCTAAGGGAACGTCCTCACCTCAGCAAACCCTTTCCTAGCATAAGGGAAGACTTTGAACTCCCCATGAGTCATGGAGGCACTGGGAAGGTGTGGCCCAAGAAAGGGGCCTGTTTAAAACTAGCACCACCCTCTTTGAAAGCGAAAGAAAGTTGTTCAACTCGGCCAGCAAACAAGCAGCAGCCAAGCCTTCGGGATCCAAACCATTCTCTGCACCCTAAGTGTTTGTGGTCAGTGCAGTAACTGCCAAATTGCTTTTGGAGCTACAATTTCCACCTTTTTCCATAAGGCCCCAGTGTTTACTATGGCATTTAAAAAATCTGTTTCCTACTGAGGTCCATTGGCCTTATGTTTTAAGGTCAAAACATTTGCATTTCTCTGAAATGGAAAGAGGCTGAGAAAATGGGTCACCGTGCTTCCATAATAATTGCAGGAAATGCTGACACAGCCGGCTGGGGAGATTCTCTGGGTCAGTGTCCCTGGGTTTGGCTCCCTCAGCATTTTGGTCCCTTTCAACTGGTTGCCGGCAAAGAGCCCTGGCTCTTTTGGATGTTTGATTTTGCATCCTAATCCAAGGCGGCTTTCAGCCCCCGTGCTTTGTTCTGGGAAGGGTTTCCAGAACAACACAGCCGCGTACCCTAGACACCCCCTGCCCCTCTCCGCACCTCTGCGTCTTCCTGCGGCTCCCTCAGAGAGTGAATGGGGTGCCGGTTGCTATGGGGGTGACAGGGTTTGACATCGGTGATAGGAGAGTCACCCCGCCCCACCCCCACCTGCCTGTGAATCAGCCTCCCTTGGGAATTGACGGCACCGCCGCTCTGAGGTGGACAAACAGCAAGAAGGTTGTTTATCTGCTCAGATTGGGGTGATGATTTTCCCCTCAGGTACTGCTAGGCTTCCGTTCCCACGGGGAAGCCGAGGAGCGCACCCCAGCCGCTCTGTTCCCTCCAGGAGCCAGGTAGTGAGAGGGGCTGGAGAAGACGCAGGTGGCTTCCTGAGCCCACCTGCTCGCCTGTCCTGTGGGAGGGGACGCAGGAGAGGCTGGAGCAGGGGAAAACCTGTCTCAATGTTGCTACTCATTATGTCCCTTAAAAAAAAACCCTACACATGCAATCCATGTTTATTATAGAAGCTTTAGAAATGCAGAAAAGTATTGAGTAAAAAAATCACCTACAATGTCACCGTCCAAAGAGAACCCCCTTTAGTGTTTTGTAATATTTTTTTACCAGGCCTTTATGTATGTATATATATTCCTTCTAAGAAAATTCAAATGATTATGTATACGAAGTTTTATACCGATGACATTTAATAGCCTGTTGTATTTTTTCATGGTATTAAATATTTTTTGCAGGGGGGGGTTTTAGGGGTCATATAATCCCCCCCCCCCATGGCTGTATTGGAGGGCAGAGGCAGTGTGGCTCTTTCACTTTTATTACAATTATAAATAAAGGCAAATCTTTTATTATTTTCTCAGGCCCAATTCCAAGAAGCAGCATTTCAGGCTCAAAAAGTGTGAATGTTTTAAAGCTTTTGAAGTTTTCACCGCCTTCTGAAAGGCCGGCCCAGCCCGCACGGGGGTCTCTGAGCTCGTTTTTTCCACACCTTCCTCTGTGGCTGGCCTTCTGGGGACCTTTCCACGTTGGGCGCTCTCTTCCCCCACGGCAGTGTTGTTAGTCTGAAAAGCTCCGCTCCTCTGCCTCCCCTGTCCCTAGGGGAGAAAGGAGTGTCCCATCTGTCCCTAGTGGCATGAAGCTTGGCTCCACTGGTCTCCAGGAGGCAGAGATGGGGAGAGCCGGCCCTGGTGACAGCTCAGCCGTCCGTGTGCCGTGGGGACAGATCCATCAGGGGTCGTCGGAAGCTCTTCCCAGCCCCTGCGGGCTGCCCTGGCTTCTGCACAGTGCTGTTGTGTTCACACACCACTCAGGACGGCACAGCGGCCTTGGGAGCAGGCCTCCCACGTGTAGCCCCTGCAGCCTGAGCCTTCCCGTGGCCCCGCCTCAGCCGAACTTTCCCACCACACACGCGCACGCGTGTGCACACTCGCCCTACATGGTCTCTGCTCCTGTGGCTTTGGCTGCCACTTGTAAACTCGTGACTCATCTCCCTCCCTGCACCCCAGGCCCAGACACTCAGCCACCTCCCAGGCGCTTCTCGCTTCTGACCCACAGACACCCAGGTTCCTGGACCAAATTCACGGCCTTCCCCTGAGACAGCCGTCCCCTCCTGTTGCGTCTGACTCCGTGCCTGGCCTCATCGGGGACTCCATCCTTTGTTTGGTCCCCACACCTGGTCCCGTCTGTTTACCTCCTGACCCTGTCTGGATTCTGTCCCCTCACTTGCATCCGTCCTGCTGATGCCTTTAGGGGAGTCCCTTTCCTTTCCTTCCTCCATTTTCAGTCAGGGGCCAGGCTGACATTTCTAAACACAGCTCTGATCCATCTGTCACACTGTCCAGGGCAGGGGGTGGCAGCTGTACCTCCCTGACATGGCACAGGAGACCCTTCACGCATCCACAGCCCCGCTCGGCAGTGCCAGGCCCTGACTGCGACATTCACCAGGCCCTTCCCTCCCACCTGGAACAACCTGCCTCCATCAGCAATGTTACCTTCTCTACAAACACTCTTGAACTCAGGTCTGGTCACTTCTTCATGCTTCTGTGCCACTGGGTGAACACCTGGATTATAAAGTTTGTCACACCGAATGGTTTTTTTTTTTTTTTTAAGGATAAAAGTGTGTCTTTTACTGATGTTCATATGCTCAGAACCCGATGCGGTCATTGGCACACGATAGATGCTCAGTGGCTGTTTGTTGACTGAACAAATGAGCGTGCTGACAGTTGGGAGTGGTGGGAGCGGCCCTGACTTTTCTAGTTGGGTGTTTTGCCTCCTGGGGCCTGGATCTCCTAAGGCCAGTCCCTCTCGAGGCCATCACAGCCTCGGCGGTGACTGCTGGGAAGTATTGCTCTGCAGCCGTCATTCAACACGGTGTCCTAGTGGGTGGTTGCATGATAGGACCTGGGTCTGGGTCTTAAAGCCACCTCTGGCCAGCCATCCCCTCAGCCCTGCACGGCTTGTGCCTCACAGGGAAGTGGAATGAGGTCTCCTGTGTTTATTTTCCCAGGTACTTCCGGAGGCAGGGCCATGCTCACGTTCATGGCCTCTGACAGCGAGGAAGAAGTATGCACCGAGCGGACGTCCCTGATGTCAGCCGAGAGCCCCACCCCTCGCGCCTGCCAGCAGGAAGGCAGGCAGGGCCCGGAGGACGGAGAGAATGCTGCCCAGTGGGTAGGTTCCTGCCAGCGGGCCGAGTCCTCCAAACAGGCCCCTGGGGTTCCTGTACCTAATGGGTGGGAAACACATATATCTGGGTGTGGGAGAAGGGGGATGTGGAGGGAGGTAAACGTGAGAATTGGCCAGAAAGGTGGGTGGTTGCCATGGCAGATCTCACGTCTGCGAGGGCTTTGTAGTGAACTGCATGTCTCCGGCCTGCTCGAGTTCGAGGGCAGTGGCCTCCGTGAGCCCCTGCCCCGTGGATTCACCGTCCTCGTGCCGGCACGTGAGAGTGAAACACGGGCTCCAGGATGGCAGGAGGGAAACCGCTGGAGGGGGTCTTTTTTGGCAGGCGGCAGATGTGGCGACCAGGAGATGACTATCCCTGAGTCACGTTAGATTTGGCAGCTGGGGATTCTGGCTGCTGTGACAAAACTACCATAGGTTGGGTGGGTTATAAACGCAAAAATTTCATTCTCGCTGTTCTGGAGACCGAAAGTCCAAGATCAAGCAAGGTGCCAGCAGATCTGGTGCCTGGTGAGAGGCCACTTCCCGGTTCACAGGAAGCCGTCCTTTCTGTCCTTACGTGGTGGGAGGGGTGAGAAAGCTCCTCGCTGTCCCTTTCATAAGGGAACTATTCTCGTTCAGTAGAGTAGGCTCTACTTTCCTGACCTAATCACCTCCCAAAGGCTCCACCTCCTAATACCATCACACTGGGGGTTAAGTTTCAACATAGGAATTTCGGAGGGACAGGCATTCAGTTCATAGCAGGAGAGGTGGGCTGCACTGTGATCTTCTGTCTGCAGTCCAGAGGGCTGATTATAACGCTATGAAGTGGAGGGTGTACTTGGGAAAGTCACCCAACGAAGCCACCTCCCTCCTCATCAGGGAAAAACAATGTCTGAATTCGCCTGAACCTTTCTTTGTTTCACCCATTACAGTATTAAAAACCCTTGCCACGTCAACTTTGTCTTCCAACCAGCCCGAATCCCCCTGGCTTGAAGTTGGAGCTCATTTCTCCCAGGAAGCTCTGGGCCCTGAGCAAGGTCTCACTAGCTCAAGGCTGCCGCTCAGCTGCCCCTTAGCCTTTTCTTGCTAGTTTCTTCATCTTGTATCTCTTGGAGTTTCCATGCATTTTAGTTGTTTCTGTTCCTGTTCATTAACAGTTTTTTTCTTTTCCTTCTCAGCTGAGTATCTATATTGAAATCTCTGCAAAGCACCCATCCTGAAGCAATAATCATTTTTGATTTCCATTTCATTTGGCTTTGTCTTTGGCTGTTAATGTAATTACCAAGACAGCAAATGACCCTCAATTGCCACAGTTCCATACGGGTTCATTTATGCCAGTGTCTGGCAGACACCCGCCCCTGCTCCGCTGCGCACTCACCTGCACTCTCCCCACTTCCCATCGGCCAGGGCCTCCCAGATGCTTGGTGCCCGGCTGACCCCTCTGGTTTGGAGCTCAAATGTTGCATGCTTGGTTTTGGGGGGCAAAAGCTCAAAGTAATGTCTTTTTTGCAAATTCCCAGTATCCTATTTATAAACACAGGAAGTCCCTACGTGTACTAGTCAATCTAGTTTGTGATTTGTCAGCCAAAAATGTTTACTCTCTAGTTTCTTCTGTCACCTGGCCTGTCTCCTGCCCGATCCGTACGGCCCTGTGAACAAGACTGAGTGGTTCCTGAGTCCCTGCACCAGCGCAGGGAGGGCTCTTTACACCTGCTCCAAACCCATTGGCTGTTAGCCTTGGGCCTGCGGACCACCCTCTTCTGTGGCCACCGCGGCCTCCCCGCGTCTGCGGGGTCCAGTCCCAACTCTAAATCTTCTCTAGTTGTCCTCATACACTTTTCAAATGTCCTGGAATTTCAAACATTCAAACTTCTCATTTCCCTTTCCAAAACACTCATGCCGTGCTTCGGTAGGCCACCTCGGGTGCGTTTTGTGGCCCACACAGTGTCGTTTCCCGCAGAGAAACCAGGACAGCGAGGAGGACCACGAGGAGGACCCTGACCGCTACGTCAGCAGCGGGGTCCCCGGGCGGCTGCCGGGCCTGGAGGAGGAGCTGACCCTCAAGTACGGGGCAAAGCACGTGATCATGCTCTTCGTGCCTGTCACACTGTGCATGATCGTGGTGGTGGCCACCATCAAGTCCGTGCGCTTCTACACGGAGAAGAACGGACAGCTGTGAGTCGGGGGCCCGGGCCGGGAGGGGGGGCCGGGCTCGGGTGGGGGGGCAGCCTCTGCCGGCCCCTGCACCCGCCGCTCCGTGCCAGTGGCAGAGCCCGCACATGCCAACCTCTCTCCACCTCAGTTTCCTTGTCTGTACCATGGGTTTGATAAAAAGGCTACCAGGAGAGGTAAGCGCGTTAATACATGTAAGGAGAGCCCGCCGCAGTGACCCCTCTGGCATGCGGGGTTTTACCACAGAAGGCACACTCCGGCCAACCAGACTGACCTTGGTGTCCCAAGTGCCGGGTCCCAGGCACGGCCGTGTCACCTGTCGCTGCCTGACCTTGAACAAGTTGCTTCCTCTCTGGGCCTCTGCTCCCCTGACAGTAAACCAATGTGGCTGGACCAGATTTCTCAGCTCACGTCCAACCTTGTGAGAAAGATTGTATTTCTTTTAATACAAAGAACACAGGCAGGAGCAGCAGCTTAGAAAACTGAGAGGCTTCCCATCCCTCGCCCCGCCGCCCTGTGTGAAGCGCTGTCACCGAGCACCTTCCCCTCCATTTTTTTTTTTTTTTTAATTTAGGCAGTTTTTGTTGAGTTTTGTTTTGTTTTGTTTTTTAAAGAAAGGAGCAGAGAGAGAAGCCCCCACCCCCAGGAAGCTTATGCTCTGTTGGGGACTCAGAGAGCAGAGGTGAAAGCAATAAGAGAACTTGGGAGCTTCGCAGGCAGTTCACTTCCGGCAGGCCAGGTTGGACAGCCAGGCACCAGGGACTTGCTTCCGGAATGGATGGCGTTGGGAGGGCAGAAGCAGGGGCAAATCCTAGGCTGGGTGGGGCTGGTAGCGAGGGGTATGGGCGGCTGCCAGCCCTCCCGGACCAGAGCGGAGTAGTGGGGTGGGCACCTCCGGGGGCAGGTCTCATTGGTGTGGGGTGTGGGGCTTTGATGAGGTTGCCTGAGCCTTTCCGCTGTTACACTGGGTCAGGTCATCAGGCCGAGAGGTCGGGGGCCGGGAGACGGGCTGGAGGGCGGGGCAGGTGGGGACGGTGGGCAGCACTCCAGCAGGGCAGGGGTTCCTGGGCGCCTCCGCCAGCGGTGCGAGGCCCCGTCAGGGCAGGGCCCCCCGCCCCCAGCTGGCAACGAGCGAACCTTGCCTTCGCCCTCAGCATCTACACACCGTTCACCGAGAACACGCCCTCCGTGGGCCAGCGTCTCCTCAACTCCGTGCTCAACACCCTCATCATGATCAGTGTTATTGTGGTCATGACCATCTTCCTGGTCGTGCTCTACAAGTACCGCTGCTACAAGGTGAGCGCCAGCCCTGCCCGCCTGCCCCTCCTCCTGGCCACCTACCCACCCTGCGGTTCCTCCTCTGCAGCAGCCACTGGCTTGGGGGGGTGGGGAATCAGCATCCCTTTTTTCCCTGCAAAACAGCCTCTGACTTTTGGTGCTCTTACCCGCCTCCCAGCCCCTTCCTTGCATTGTCCAATGCTCTTGTGTTCAATTTACACACAATGCCACTTAGCTGAGTTCCTCCCTGCAGTGAACTGTCACTTCTCATAGTCAAAGCGAATTTTATGTTGCTTCTCCTTCTGAAGAAGTGAGATGTTCTATTCTAGGTGCCCTTGACCCCATACTTCCCCTCCAGCTTTATTTTTAGTTTCCCGTTTCCCTTCAGGCCGGGGAAGTACAGGTGCCGCGCTGGGGTCTTCCAGCAGTGCTGGGTGGCCCCCCGAGGCTGGCAGAGGAGTGGAGTTCTTCTGACTTAGAGCAAGGGCACCTTCCCCAGAGACACCCTGAGCTTTTAGGTGTGAGTTTCAGGCTTTTCTCCCAGGGAGGGCTTGGAAGCCCCAGTGACTAAAAGGGAGGTAAAGGAGGCTCTACCTGATTTAAAACCGGTCACGCACAGGCACGTGCAGCACTTTGTGTTCAGGCTGCTGCCAGCTATGGAGCGGGTAGAGGAAGATGAGGAGGCTCGGTCTAGAGATGAGCCCCTTCCCAGCGGTGGAGGGGGGCGGGGGGGTGGCACTGAGCCATGGGAGAGGCTGCCAGGAAGTGTCCGGGAGCTGAAGCTCATCCATTAAAATTACCTGTGTAAACAGACCCCAGAGTTTGAGGTCAGGGAGGCTTGGACAGTAGGAAGCAGAGTAGAGGGGTGCTTGTCGGGAGCAGACGACGCAGTGCAAATGAAAGCCACGCACAGAGAGTGCGGAAGCCAGCACTGCGGTGGCCAGTCCCAGGGTCCGTTTAGTAAGGTTTGCTGCAGGCCCATGACATTCAGGCGATGGCAGTGGCCTTGGGCGGGCAGGGCCGGCTGGGATAGGAGAGTGTCATCGCCTTCCCAAGGCAGCCTCGGACGGCCTGACACAGGCCACCAGGTTCACTCCAGGCACGCCTGGTCCTCTCTGAGATCCCTCGTGGCTCGCACCGGGTCTGTCCCCGCAGTGGGGAGACCAGAAGGAGTGTCACCACTGTGTCCCTGACGGCTGGCCGAGGCTTGGGAACGGCCTTACCCTCATCCTCGGCCCTGGGGAACGTGTGTAGACGCTCGGGGGAGGAAGCTGCCCTGAGGACCTGCCCCGAGCCCTCCGTCTACATCAGCGCCCCAGTGCATCTGTCACCATGCTGTCCTGCCACTGCTTCCTCCGTAGCCCGCAGCACTGCCTGTTAGAGCATGTACACGGGTCTGCTTATCACCCCGCCGCCCTCACACTGGGGTGCACCGCACGCAGCAGGGACTCTGCGGGCTCCTCCTCCAGGGCCTGGCGGAGGGTGTGCCTGGCAGGGCGGGGCACCCAGCGCTCCCTGTCTGTGCAAGCAGAGGTCCAGGAGCTTAGACTTAAAGCAGTTTTGTTTCCTTCATACACTTGCTGGGTGACCTTCAGAGAACTTGAACTTCCGTGCCCTCTGTATCTGGACAACAGCCGCCTAGTACCTCCCAGCATGGTCTCAAAGGAGCCTGAGGCAGAAAGATTTCCACGCTTGGGCATCTGTCCCCAGAACCTGAGGGCCTTGGGATAGGTGGGACTTGGGGACACACTGGGGTCACTCTGCCTGTTTCTTTGTCCAGTTCATCCATGGCTGGCTGATCATGTCCTCTCTGATGTTGCTGTTCCTCTTCACCTATATCTACCTCGGGTGAGTGGCGGCTGCTGAGCAGCGGGATCCTCGGGGGCCCCTCCCCGTGTGGCGCAAGTGACTATAAGGGATCTGGGCGGGGAAGAGCCCCCCTTGGGCTCCATACCCTCCCCAGGGTCTCTGCCCCAAGAGCCCGGCCCTCTTCCCGCCGGCTGCCTTTTGATGGAGGGGCGTGGGCTCCATGGGGGGCCCCATGGCTCTTCTGGCTCCTAATTTAGAACAAATAAGCAGAGCCGTCATGGGGAAGGCACTCTGGAACCCCAGGAGGGCAGAGCCCCTCAAAATTTACATTCTAATCTGGGGGCTGGGCCTGGGTTCTTCCCAGTTTATGGCAGAAGAGGTCTCTGTTGCCCTTGATTTGGGGTATCGGCCTGACCCGGGGCCCAGAGAGACAGGAGGGGCAGGAGAAAACACTTTTCCCAGGACCCCCTCCGGGGGCTGAGGGCCACACCGGGTTGCACTAGCACGCATCTGTGTGAATCGACCCAAGAATGACCCGTCAGTCTGCTCCCCACCTTGCTCAAGAAGCTGTTTCAAGTGGTTAGCGGAGGGCCCGTGGAAATGGGGAAGGGTCTCTCAGCTGGAGGGACCAGAAGTTGGAAACACCCAGTCGGGACTTAGTGTTTGAGGAGCAGGGGGTGTTGAATGCGGCAGGGTCTAACCTCTGCACGGCGTGCCCCGCCCCCTGTCCCGGCGGGCTCCTGCAGGGAAGTCCTCAAGACCTACAATGTGGCCATGGACCACCCCACCCTGTTCCTGACCGTCTGGAACTTCGGGGCGGTGGGCATGGTGTGCATCCACTGGAAGGGCCCCCTGGTGCTGCAGCAGGCCTACCTCATCATGATCAGCGCACTCATGGCCTTGGTGTTCATCAAGTACCTCCCGGAGTGGTCCGCGTGGGTCATCCTGGGCGCCATCTCTGTGTACGGTGAGTGAGCGGGCGCCGACGGTGCGAGAGCCCGGCCGCGGGCCATGGGGTCAACACCCAGGGCCAAGTCCCTGCTGCCGCTCACGTGAGGGGCCTGGCTGGTCTCCCTTCTGAGAGGTTCACCTTCGTAAGACATGAAAGGTCCTGTAGACTCATGACTATTGACGTGGTTATGAGTGATAGCAGATGTTTCCTGAGCACCCGCACCGTTGAGCACTTGACACGCTGTCAGTTTGGGCACAGTACCTATAAATAATGAGCCGCTCTTTCTTAGTATTAAGGTAGTTACCATCAGCAGTACTGTTTCTTCCATATTAGGGCCCAGAGAAGTGGGACCTCAGGCTCACCCTCCGGCTGCAGGCCGCAGCCAGAGCAGACTCTAGAGACCGTGGCTGGAGACCCACCCAGGGGCGGGGCGACAGGACAGCGGGGCCGGCCCTGAGAGCCTCACACTGGGGCTCCGGGACCCAACGGCCCCCTCCACGCTGGTGTTAAGGGGCTGGCTCCCCTCTTTGGGGGTTGCTTGGGAATAAACGTCTTTTTAACCGTTTCTTCCCAGATCTCGTGGCTGTGCTATGCCCTAAAGGGCCGCTGAGAATGCTGGTGGAGACTGCCCAGGAGAGAAACGAGCCCATATTTCCTGCCCTGATATACTCATGTGAGTGGTCCCCGTGCCTCCCATGACGTGGGGTCAGAGGCGCCAAGGTGGGGGCCGGGGGCGGCTTCCAGGCCATGGCATTCAGAGTTGGCTAGGAGATCATAATTCGTTCCCTGACCAAAGGCAGGAGGCGGCGGCCTCCGCCTTCTAGAGACGATAGCAGACAGTACCTTCTGTTACGCAGGACAGAGCTCTGAAGATTAGAGCAGGAGGGGCCCACAGCCTTGTCCCATCCAGCCTCTGGTGGTGGGCACATGGTGGGCACAGGCCGCGTTCCAAGAGGCCATGGCGCCCACGCAGCCCTCCACGGCCTCCTCCTTCACAGCTGCACGGCTGGTCGAAGTTAAATCTGAAGGGAAGGACGTGGGATGCCCCTGGGCTCAGGTCAGGGTGTTGGGGTTTGGATTTGTGTTTGCAGTCAACAAACGTGCGTCAGGCCCCCGCTTTGTGGCAGGCACCATGCTGGGCACTGGAGTCGCAGCCGGAGACAAGGCCCCCGTGGGCCTGGGCCTCCCAGAGCTCCCAGCGCTGTGGTTTCGATGCCCTCCTGCCTGTTGCTGGTGGCGCTTAAGCAGAAAGCTTTAATCTCTGGGGCTCAGCTGTCTGCAGGGTGCACTGGAAAAACAGTTTATGGAACAGCTGTAGGGTTCTGGGTAATCTCTAGCAAATGGCGATTCAAGTGTGAGAGCACATTCCAGGCATGTTCCGGGGTGAGCCGAGGCCACGCGTGGAAAGGCTTGGTTGGTACCCGGACTTTCATTCACCGTCTGTATACTCTGAGGGAGCTCACGTTCCAGGAGGGGAGCTACCAACTAAACAGTCAAATGCGTAGTCAGGAGGTCAAAGTCGCGTAAGGGACCTAAGGACTTCGGGGGCGGGAGGTGCTGGGGTTTCGCATAAGGTGGTCGAGGAAGCCCTTTGTCATAAGGTGGCATTTTCCTGCCTTAGGAAAATCTGGGGACAGAATTCCAGGCAGAAGGAACAGCAGCCAGCGCAAAGGCCCTGAGGTGGGCACAGCCTGGTGTGCCCGGGGAGCCGGTGGGGGACAGGGGGATGGGGGGATGGGAGGAGAGGGGAGGTCCAGACCCTGGGAGGCCCCGCAGGCTGTAGCGAGGGCTTGGCTTTGCTCCTGAGTGAGACGTGACACCACTGGAAGATTTCTGACTGACCTGACTTGGCATTTTAATAGGATCGCGCAGGTGGCTGAGTGGAGAAAAAGTCTATGGGGGTCAAGGTGGAAGCAGGAATCAGGCTTGGAGGCTGAGTAGCAACCCAGAGGAGAGAGGATGGGGTTCAGCCCGGGGGCACCAGGAGAGGCCGTGGGATGTGGTTGCCTTCTGTAGGCGTCTTAGAGGCAGGACGGGGCAAGATGCACTGATGGCTGGGACGTGGTGTGAGAGAGTCAAGGATGATGTCAGCGCTTTGGGCCCGAGCAGCAGAAAGGATGGAACTGGCAGCTGTTGAGAGCATTCGGGGCGTATCGAGTTTGAGATGCTCACTGGACGTTCAGCCGGGGAGCTGGAGGGATGGGATATGAGTTCAAGGGAGGCTTCCAGGCCAGAGGGAGACCACTATTAGGACCGCGTGATCCAGCAGTCCCACTTCTGGGCAGAGTCCCAAGGGAGCTGAAAGCCGGGTCTTGAACATATTTTTATACAACCATGTTTGTAGCAGCATTATTCACAGCAGGAGAGCTGGAAGCAGCCCAAGTGTCTAACGATGGCTGAATGGATACACAAAGTATGGTGTATATACACACCGTGGAATATGATTCAGCCTTAAAAAAGAAAGAAATTCTGACATGTGCTTTGTGGATGAACCTTGAGGATGTTATGTTATGAGAATTAAGCCAGTCACAAAAAGACAAATACTGTAGAGTCCACTTAGATGAGGTACCCAGCGCAGTCAGACTCATAGGGACAGAAAGTGGAAGGACTCGGGGGAGGGGACAGCAGGGCTTGCTCACTGGATACAAAGTTTGTGTGGCAAAGGGAAAAGGGTCTGGAGACTTGTTTTACAACAATGTGAATATACTTAGCCCTGTTAACCTGCACACTGAAGCATGGTTTAGATGATACATTTTAGGTTATGTGTTGTTTTTTTTACCACACCAAAACAAAACCACAATTAGTTCACCAAACTATTCACTGATACTGTTGCCCTTGTTTCTGTGAAGGCAAAGCAGATAGAAGAGTTGCCTGCCTACACCGGCTCAGGGAGCCTGGGCCCCGTCCCCTGTAGCCGCCTAACAGTGGGACATAATCAAACACCGTGGAACTGAGGGTCCTGGGCAGGCTTCTGGGGACACCGGTTGGCGCGCCCACCTCTCAGGCCTGGGGGCAGCCCCGGTTCGCCCCGCCTGGCGCCTGACCCTTGTCTCCTTCTCCAGCTGCCATGGTGTGGACGGTGGGCATGGCCAAGCTGGACCCCTCCTCTGAGGGGGCCCTTCAGCTCCCCTACGACCCGGAGATGGGTGAGTGTTGGGGGGTCGGTCGCTTCTCGTCATGGGGGGCGGTTCCTCATGCACCCGGCTCGGCCCGACCTTGCCTCTCCGGGAGATACAGGGCCTGGAGGGGCAGACAAGAAAACCAAACTGCTAGCACCTCGGGGGTTGAGTTGGGGGCGGGGGTGGAGGCTTCAGTCCACTGCCTCAGCCCCATTTCTTTGTGTGGCCTGGAGAGCCTTTCTGTGTGTCAGGGCTGGCGGGTGCGGGCAGGGAAGCCCTGAGCTCCAGAGAGGCCGCTGACTGGACACCCGTCTCTCCCTCGGCCCCTTCCCACCCCCGTGGTGATGCTGGCCGCCTGCACCTACCGGACACCCAGAAGACTCCTATGACAATTTTGGGGAGCCCTCATACCCTGAAGTCTTTGAGCATCCCCTGCCTGGCTACCCAGGAGACGAGCTGGAGGAAGAGGAGGAAAGTAAGGTGCCCGTGTCCAAATGGTCTGCATGGGCCCCGGGGGCAGGGGGCGGAGGTGGGGGCTCCCTGAGGTCTGAGGGAGGGAGGGAGGGAAACGTTCCTCCCTCATCCGAGACGGCCTTATAGAAGTCAAGGAGAAAGCTGCAAAAGGTAGGGTTGGGCCGGCTGGCCATGGGGACTTGCACATTCAGACTCACGTGTGTATTTGGCAGCATTCATTGAGCACCAGCTGCTTGTCTGCCCTGCGGTGGGGGGTGCCCGTCCCAGGCGTGGTGCGTCTCATGGGTGTGGAGGCTGGTCATGAACACGCTGTGAGTCGGGGGGGACTGCGCAGGAGACCCCCGGGTGCGGAGCGCCAGCAGGTTCTCAGGGATCACCTGGGTCACCTGGGGAGAGAGTCACCTGGGGAGTGACTTCTGAGCCAAGCTCCCAGAGCCAAGCTGGGACAAACACTGCCTTGACTAGGGGGAGGGGCATCTCTTGTTCGGAGCCTGGGACGGAGGAGGGTGTGGGAGTGGACGAGGCCAGCAGTTTCCTTGGTCGGGACTGCCCGAGTTTATCATATAAACATGTGTATGGTCTGCGATAAACAAAGTTTTCCAATACCAGTGTCCGGGGCAGTTGTACTAAAGGGAGCACACGTGATCACATTCTAGAAGCTCTCACTTTTCAGTTAAGAATAAGCTAATAACAAATATGTTTCTCTGTGTTTGAGGGGAACGGGTCTCCAGAGGACCCCTAGGTGTTGCACGTGTTCTTACAAATAGTGAAATTAAATTTCCTAAAAAATACTTGTAAGTCAAACGCAGCACTAAGTTGCAAGGCTTCCCATCAGCCCCGGACAGTGTTTTGTTTGGTTTATTTTATATGTTAAAGTAAGTGCCAAGCTCCAGTTTAGTTGGAGTTCTCAGTCGTGCCAGCTTTCCACAGCCCAGATTGCAAGTCACTCGGCCCACGGGCTCCCCGTTTTCCTGCGGGCTGCTGTTTTTTGCCAAGGCAGCCAGTCCTTGTCCCAGAGTCCAGGTGAGGTGGCCTGGGTGGCGAAGCTACCCTGTTTGGCCCCCTGAGTGCCCCAGGGCTCTGTCCCCTGGGTCCCTGGCTGTTCGGCTGCGTCCCCGGCTGCTCCCATGGGCTTCTGAGATGACGGGCTCACTCTGTGTTCCCCACGCAGGAGGGGTGAAGCTCGGCCTGGGTGACTTCATCTTCTACAGCGTGCTGGTGGGCAAGGCGGCGGCCACGGGCAGCGGGGACTGGAACACCACGCTGGCGTGCTTTGTGGCCATCCTCATTGTAAGTGGGCTGTGGGGGCCAGCATCCCAGGGGAATGTTCAGATGCTGCGGTCCCTGTTGTGTCCCCATGAACCCCGGGCAGCACACGGCGCGTCAAGGCTGAGACTCAGGTCCTGGGAGATTTTGTATCCGTCCACAGGGCGCATCAAGGAAGGCGGACCCCAGGCTCCCCCACCTCTGGGCCGTCTGACCTGAAGCCCCTCTCTCCAGGGACAGAGCAGGCGCTCTGGTTCCCCGTCCCCACCCTGGACCACTGTTGGCCCCTGTGGGTGTGGGAACAGGGTTGGCCCCACTGCGTCTGCTTCCAAGGGCAGGAGGCACGCGGCACCTTTGGTGCCCTTGGCGTCCGCTGCTGAGACCCCCACTGGCAGTTCAGCTGAGCCCGTCCAATTCTATGAATACGTGTCCCTCCGAGGGGAGGCGTGCCGCCCTCAGGTCGCACGTGTTGCCACCGCAGCCGGACAGGGAAGGCAGTCTGGGGGAGGCGGCAGCCTCTGTGATCGGGAGGCCTGTTTCCTGGGTCGCCCGTTCGCGGGCAGGGTGTTAGGATGAGAGGGAGAACTCCTGCCCCTGGGCCCCTCACGGAGCTGTTGAGAGGGCCGCCGAAGGTCCTGGGTGTCCAGGGCTGCTGTCCTGCAGTCCTTGACCAACTGCCGAGCCCGGGGACTAGGCCGTCACCCACTGCCCCCCGCCCCCGTCCACACCGGGGATCACCGCCTCCCACCTGGGTGTCCTGCAGGGCCTGTGTCTGACCCTCCTGCTGCTCGCCGTGTTCAAGAAAGCGCTGCCTGCCCTTCCCATCTCCATCACGTTCGGGCTCATCTTCTACTTCTCCACGGACAACCTGGTGCGCCCTTTCATGGACACCTTGGCCTCCCGTCAGCTCTACATCTGAAGGGGCGCGCGGCCCCGGGGCCAGATGCCGTAGGAAACTGTAACTGGATGCAGCTGTATAGTTTTACACTCTAGTGCCATTTAAGACTTTTCTTTCCTTAGGAAAAAAATAAAATAAAATAAACGAGAATAAAAAAGTACCGCGTTCACTTCATGAAGAAGAACCAGCTTTTTGGTGCTCGTTGGATCGTCACCCGGCTGTGGCTCACCCCTTCCTGAGCCCCGGCTTCTCCGACAGGGAGCAGGAAGTCGACCCCGATGGACAGAGGAAGGGTAACGTGATGGGGGCGGGGTGTGGAGAAGGCCGCCCGGCCGCGCCTCAGAGCTGGGATGTTCTGAGGGCCGAGATGAAGGAGGGCGTGCGTATGTAGCAGGACCAGACTTTCGTGCCCAGAACAGCGCTCAGCAACACCTGGTCATGTCGGCTGGAGACGAAAAGCCAATTTTCTCTGCAAGGATTGTTCCCAGTGCTTTGTCTCTGATGTTATTGTAATTTTATTACTTTTAGAAATCAAGTCCTGATCTTGTTAGAGCAGTTCCTCTGGGAAGTGGCTTCATATTAATATCAATAAAAAGATGAATCCTGGCAGAATGTTGGAGTTTGGTCTGTTTGTGTCGGCCTCGTCCCTGTGTCTCACAGCCACTCCTGGGACACCGGGTCTCTGGGCACAGACACGCGATTCGCCCAGTTATGAAGGAGAGAGGCCTAACGGGCCCGCTCCATGTCTGCAGCCATTTCGTCAACGAGAAAGTTCGCTGAGCAGAGGCATGGAGAGATCCGCGAGGCCTGGCGGCCGACAGCTTGGCGGTGTGGCAGGCTGCGGCTGCTAAGCACGTGCCTCGTGCCGGCTTCAGCTGTGCGCGTTGCCAGAGACCCTGTGAGGTGTTTGCCAAAACACAGAGCAAGTGTCCTCGACAGACACCAGCGCACAGTACGGGCAGGGTAGCCTGTGGTCAGAAGCTTGCCCTCCTTCACTTCTGTGGCCGCTTCCCTGGGCACTGGGGTGGGGGTGTGGACAGGCCAGTTTCCCTTTTCTCCGCGGCATTCGTGGATCGCAAGGAGAATCCCTTGGAATGAACTCGAACTCCTTGACGCAGCGCAGAGCAGGCCTGTGGGCCCGTGGGGAGCAGCTTGTCAGACCGCTGAAGAAGCCCAGGCGCTGGTGTGAGCTGGTGTGAGCTCTGCCTCCTTGTCCCAGAAATAACGCGAGTGCTGCAAGCTGGCTATTCGTCATGAAAGGAATAAGAGAATTATGTGTCTTGACGTTTGACAGGAGACTTCTTTCCCCTGGCCTGTTTGTGGAAGCACAGAGGCAACGGGAGAGGCGGGAAGCCAGCTGCGGGTTGGCTTAGTGGTGGCCGTTCTGGGCGCTGGCCGTTGAAACCTGAGAGCTGCAGTGACTAACTTACAGCCGGACACCCAGCGTGGCAGCGTCCCGTGGGGGCAGCTCACAGTAGGGAGAGTTTTAAGAAGGTGAGGGCTGGTCCCCAATGGTGAAAACTCCTGAGAAATTAAAAGGGAAGAAACTGGGAGAAGCTCATTCCACGTGGCAGTGTTTATCTTGAAAGTGGCTTGGGCGTTGGGCTTCCAGAGATGAGATTTGACAAGCATTTGGATTTGTGGGGCTGAAAGAGTTCTGTTCCAAGGCTTGACCAGGGTGCTGGGGGTGGAGGCCGTGTTCGAGGTAAAAGCAGAAGGTGGAGGCCATGATGGAAGCTTCTTGACCATCAGAGAGGGAGAGATGAAAGGTGCCATGATGTAGTGTTCAAGTTAACTGTTTAAAGACTGGGGAAGAAAATAAGTAAATGTGACAACCCAAAGGGAAAAATCATTGTGTTGCCAGGTCAAGGTTCATGTGCCGGACTCTTCAAGGGGGAAAAAAAAAAAAAAGGCCAATATTCAAAACGCCAGAGTTTGGAGTAAGAAAAGCTTTACTGATCAAAAAGGTGCCAGCTCCAGAAGATTGGGATCGGGGTGGGGGAGGCAGTTTTCACAAATCCATCTTAAGAGAGCCCAGAACTCAAGCATCTTTTAGGCCAAGGAGGAGGGGCGGGACAAGTGGTGGGTGATACCTAGGCGCCAATAGGGATCCTTCGAGGAGTGAGACATCTCTAAGTCTCCTTGTTGACTCCTGCTGATCTGGTTCTGTCTTGAGTCTTCTGCAAATCTTTGACAAAAGTTCAAGCCTCAAGCAGAATTCCTCTAATAATGAGTATATTTATAGCAGGAGTTATTCTCCTGAAGGCTGTAGGAGAAATACAGACTAGAATTCAGACAGAGTCTGAGAGAGCCAGCATTTCACTGTTGCTGCTGAAAGAAAAGCAAAACCCTTGATCCCTGAGTAGCTGGGAGGCAGGGAACACAGCACACAAGTGGAGGAAAGGAAAAAAACAGGATTAAAAAAAAGAGATACTTCAAACATGCTGAAAAGAAGAGAGAACTGGTGTGTAAACACTTATATCCCACGGCGTAACTAATCAACTAATCTTAATACTTTTTTTCCCAGATTTGTTTTTGCAAACACAACCTTCTGATTCTAAAGGCCTGTGTGTATTCTGCCCCAACCCTGTTTAATCCTGACCACTGTCTTGAGGTTAATTTGTATCCTTCCCATCCATGTTTAGTTTTGTTTCGCATGTAGGCATGTTTTTAAAACTTTATAGAAATCATGTCATACTATACATATTTGACAATTTTAAAAATTAATGTTATGCTCTTAAGATAATTGAGTATGTGAATGTAACACTGGATCAGTTATTTTAACTGCTGTTCAGTATTCTATTATCCAAAATTCCAGTTTATCCTGTTACACTGTTAAGGGAGAGTCCAGGTTTTTGCAGGATTTCTCTATTGTAACTAGACTGCCTGGAGCATCTGAAACCAGAAAAATCACCATTCATGCTGCCTGTCACTACCAGAATCAATAAGTAGAGATGAGGATTGAATCTTTGTGGGCACTTTATTCAGATGCTGGCGATCTGAGAAGGCAGCGGGGTAGGTACTGTAAAAACCACCTTGATAGCTCATCTACAGCCAGTATTTTCTTATGAGAAGAAGAGGGCAAGTAACGAGTGTGGAATTCAGGGGAAAAGGTTAATCAGATAAAAATTGCAGTCGGGTGGTTTTCTTAGCTTCCTTTCATTGGCTGAATGGTCAGTGCACATTCCCTCCCTGGAGCACAATGGCTCAGATACCATCTTCATCACTTGCACAAAGGCTGAATCGCTTGCGGGCTCCCTGGAGTCAGGGTAGGTCCCCTTGGCCATGCATTCCAGTTCCTGGAACAACAGCTTTCTACATGCATTAATCACTAAGCCTATAAACTATAACTAAATCTAAAACGTGTTTAACTCTTGATTTCCCCCACCCCATCCTGGTGTGAACTGGGGTGAGTAGCAGCAGTCCCCTCGCTGACTGGACGTTCCTACTGGCTCCCCAGCGCTTGGACCCCTTTATCCCCCTCATCAGCAACCTGAGAGTTCCCCCATTTCCCTAACTCTGCCAACGCTTGGTATCATCAGAGTTTTCACTTTTGCCGATTGGATGGATGTTACCTCCTTTAGGTTTTAGTTTGCAATGAGGTTAAGCATCTTTTTTATACATTTTGGCTGCGCAGATTTCCTTGGCTGTTTTTTCATATCTTTTGCCCGTTTTTTCATTTGGATGGTTTGCCTTTTATTTCTGGATATTTGCCCTCTTAAGATATATATTCTGGAGTGATGCTACTCTTTGGTCAGTTAATATGCATTTTGCATATCCCACACCAGAACCTCATTCTGTTGATCTCCTCTTGGACTTTTCTCTCTTCCTCAGCCTGGAGAGAATTTTAAAAATCTTGTCCCTGGTGGGGAAACACTGACTCAGCCACTATTTTTCCTTAATTTTTCTGTCTCACATCAGTCCAACTGTTTTAAGTGCAAAAAGGAAAAAATAGGAAGGCTTTACCATCAGTGTTCGCGGAAGTTTCCTCTTGGAGCAAAGGCCGCCTGGGGTGCCGCTCAGCCTGAGTGCCCGTGAGTCAGGTGACAGGGAGGGCAGACAGAGTGGTTCTTTCTTCACCAGACAAGGCCCCTTTCCCTGCTCTCACAGCCCTGCCCTCTTGAGCCATTGGAGGAGGACCCTGAGTCAGGGTTGGTTCTGAGAGTGTGGTCTGGGGGCCCCACGGAATCAAAACTATTTCGTAATAATATTAAGTTATTCTTTGTTTTATTTATCTATTTATATTGATTTGAGAGAGAGAGAAAAAGAGACTTTGGCTCGCTGTCCCACTTGTTTATGCCTACACTGATTGATTCTTGCATGCGCCCTGACTGGGGATCAAACCTGCAACCTTGGAGTATCGGGACGACACTCTAACCCATGCAGCTGCCCGAACAGGGCTCTTTGCCTTTTTTATTTCCCTTCTCTCATGAATGCACTGGAATTTTCCAGAAGCTTCACGACACAGTTTCACAAGGGGTTGAATACAGAAGATATGAGAATCCAGCTCTCTTCTATTATTAAAAAGAAAATAATGTAAATAAATGCCACCCTTTTTATTAAAGCCTGTGTTTTTATTTCACAAAATGTAGCTATTTTTATAAATGTGTAAGTGTTAACATGAAATGTTTATTATGTTTAAAGGAATCAATATGTCAATATTTTAAAAAATTTCTGTTTTTAATTCCTCAGTTGTAATTTCTAAGTAGCATATACTTAATCCACATAACAAACAGTCTGTGAGTGTAAAGGGGTCCCAAGACCAGAAAGTTGGAGGCCTGTTGCTCCCCAGGAAGGCTGCTGCTTGCTTCACCTACGTGGTGGCTTTCAGTCCAATGTCCTTCAACCACTTTGGCCTCTCCAGGGACTCCATTTGCCTTTGAATCTCTCCTTCTGTTAGCTCTGAGCCAGGATGGCCACACGAGGGCAGCGCATTCTGCCAGGAGCCACCGTGGCACCTCAAGCCTAGGTCCTCACAGTTCAACCTGCAGCACTGAGTTCCTGTCGCGCCTCTGGCCAGTGGAGCTGGAGAAGCAACGATGAGAAACCCAGGGTCTTGCCTGAGGGAGGCTCAGGCCCCGGGTGTGCCCTCCCCATGAGCCAGAGGAACCAGAAGGGGACAGGGATTTTGATCCAGTCCAGAGCCCGACGACAGGGTGGGGGTTGCTGTGTGCAGGGAATGAACATCACCTCGATGTCGTGCACAGCTGGGCTGAGAAGCTCGTTTTCCGGAATCTCAACTGTAATTAGGAAGTGTTTGTTTTTGTTTCCATTGCCTGCGAGGAAGGAGTACCCTGTACTCTTTACTGTGTTGACGTAAGAAACTTCCAGACTCTTTTTATAAGTTTATTTGAAGATGATTGCCGGGAAGCAGGATCTCAAGTGCTCCGGAGAACGACAGCCTTGCAGTTTCTTTCATGCATTTGGAACCAAGGAGGGAATTTAAGAAAGGTTTCATGAAGGCGGGAGGAAGCAAGGTGGAGATTGAATTACAGGATAGTTAACAAGACGAAGTGTTCTATTAAGGGCAGTTCTGCTTTTTTTCAAAGGTGGACAGAAACAATGGACAGGGCTGCCTTAAGGCAAAGGTGAGTTAGAGAAATCAGGATGGC